AGAAGCGCGGCGGCGCTCCTGCCGAGGGTTCGGATCCCACATACAGACCGGCCGCTCACTGGCTGAGCGAGGTGCAGGAGCAACACCGAGGGTTGCAATCCCGTGGCCGGTCCCGGTCCGGTACGGGCGCGACACTGAGGGTTGCGATCCATTGCCGGTCACGAAAAAAGACAAAAAGGAAAAAAAAAAAAAGAAAGTAAATGGTCAGGATCCCTTAGATGTTCAGAATCTTGCTGAGCATTTGATGTAAATATAACTGTGCATGTGTGCCCAGGTGTTCCTGGGTTGTCTGACTTGCACTCAGGTATTCCTGGGTTATTGGACTTAAGTATAAAGGACGAACAGCTCTGATCCACAGGGCCCCCACCCCTAGGATGCCTGGCGGGGAGGGGGCGCTACTGCTGCTGGAGGCTGTTGCTGTAAACTATTGCTGCCAGGGCCTCTGGGATGCCCTGGCAGGCTGCTGCTGCTGGATCTGCTGGAGGCTGCTGTAAGCTGCAGCTGCTGCTGAGGAAGTTGGGGACTGAGCTTGCATCGGAATGAAGCATGTCAACTCTCCCGGGATTTTTTCTAATTACCTGGCTCATGACCTATATTTGAGGGGTCTATGACCCAGCCTGGCATGTGAGGGGTTTGTGACCCAGTCTGTACAATGGGTTTGAAGGGTTGGAGCCCTAGTCCGACAGGGAGCTTGGTCGAGGCCCATAGCATCCCCCTCATTCCAGCAGGGGAGACCAGGCAGGTTTTCGTGGCAGCTTGATGGTCATTGCTGGGCTGGTTGAGGATGTCAGTGGGGCATGGCTGTGGCTGATGGCCCTCCCCTCTCCCTGGCTTGAAAGCCCAGAGGGCTTCTAGTTCTTCTAGATTTTATAGGTGTTCTTTGGGGAAGTGAGACCTTTACTAGTTAATATCAGACATTGTCTCTGATCTGTGGGTATTTTGTTTTTTCTTTCAGTTCTGTGTTGGGTTATTCACTGTTTTCACCACATAAATTCTGCACTGGAACTAATTTGTTGTCCTTTGCTTACTTCTAAAATGGGGGAACTTCCTGTGGGGAGCAGCACTGGAGCCCTGTGATTGAGCTAAATTGCTGCTTTGTTGCAGATTCCCTGGGGAAGGCTTATTGTGCAGCTCAGATTTTAACTGTTGACCTTGTACGTACTTTAGGGTCTCGTGAAGTCCAGTACACCTGGATTGTGTGGAAACTCTGGTATGGGCCTGAGTCTTTTCAGCAAACTGCTCTCCCTGTTGTTCTATATTCCTGACCAGTCTCTACTGAGTATGCCTGCACTGATTGGGGGGCAGACCAGCTGTCCATGCTGTGCCCCAATGTTCCCTGGTGGTCCGTCTCCCCCACCATCTGCACTCCAGATACTTCCTGTGGGGTGGGCCGTGTTCCAGTCCCTGTGCCAGTCCCTTGCGATGACTCACCAGCCTTTGAGTGGCTCCTTATTTCAACTGTTTGTGACCCTTCACTCTTATGTGGGTCCATGGGAATCCTGTTAGTGGTCTTGCTGGCCTGGGGGCCACCAAAGCCCTCTTCTCCCCTGCCACCTCCAAGAAACTTCATATGAAGGGCACACCTGTGGCTTTTGCCAGCTTTCACTCCGTGAGGTCTTGAAGCAGCCGGGGCTTGAAATGGTGGGAGCGGTCCTTTCTTTCTGTCATTATGGCTTCTCCTGCCTTCATGAGTTCTGTAGGTCTCTCCTCTTCCCCTGAGCTCTAGTCTATGTGTATAGTTTTTTTAACCCATATATCATACCATACATATTGTTTTATAGTTTGCTTTTTTTCCTCTCAACAAAATATTTTGGATATCTGCCCATGCCAGTACCTATAACTTAGTGGTTATGAGCCTGGCTTCTGAAGCCAGGCTGCCTAAGGTGGAATTCCAGCTCTTCCACTTATTAGCTGTATGACTTTGGGCAAATTATTTAACTTTCCTGTGCCTTCAATTTCCTCATGGAAAGAGACAATAGTAGCACCTATCTATAGGGCCGTTGTGAAGATTCAATGAGTTAATATGTATAAAGCACTTAAAAGTGCTGTTTAGAAATGTTTGCTATTGGGGCCGGCCCAGTGGCGCACTGGATAGTGTGCCGCTTGGGAAGCGCGGCAGCGCTCCCGCCCGAGGGTTCGGATCCCACATACAGACCGGTTCCCGCTCACTGGCTGAGCGAGGCGCGGGAACAACTCCGAGGGTTGCGATCCCGTTGCCGGTCCCCGGTCCGGTACGGGGGCAACACTGAGGGTTGCGATCCGTTGCCGGACACGGAAAAAGACAAAAGACAAAAAAAAAAAAAAAAAAAAGAAATGTTTGCTATTATTATTATCTACCTCATTCTTTTAAACTGGTGCCTGGTATTCCTTACTATGGAATTTATCATAGTTTCTTTCACCATTCACCTATTGGGAATTTGGATAGATGCTATTTCTTCACTGCTAATAACTGTTTAATAATTATTAATAATTTAATAAGCAGTGCTGCAGTGAACATCTTGTTCACGTGTACTGCTTGGGTACTCATGAAGTTTTTCTGGGGCAGGTGTGGGGAAGTGGAAATGCCAGGCTGTAAAGTTTGTCCCGTTTAAATGTTATTAGTCACTGCCAAAATGTTCTCCAAAGTCATTATGTTATTTTTAATTTTGGCTGAACCAATGTAATAAATGACAAAATTGACAAGTCCTGGAACATTAAATGTGTCATCTTTTTATCTCCATTTTTGTTTCTATTTTTTCCTAAGGCCAAGAGATTCATCTGAGAGATGATTGATTGGGATAGAGTCCAGAGACTTATCCATTATGGATTAAACCTGTTAAATTTTTGCACATTTCTTGGTGATCTAATGGAATCTCCAGGTATTTTGGCATCCTACAAACACAGCGTGCCTTACCGGCTTTGGCTCCACAATGGACTCGCACTTCTTCCTGTAATAGTATTCATTGACTGCACAGGGTTCACAGCACTTGCAGCAGGGATAGATACGGGATCGACAGCAGGTACTTGAATAAGTGTTGATGAGAAAGTCAATGAACACAGTGGCCTACGGAAGACCAAAACAAACACCATGTTTGCAAAAACTTCTTTTTGCCAAATCATTTTCATAAAGCATGGGAAAGAGAATCTCTTACCAAACCAAAGTAGGAGAGGGTTGAGCCGATGTACACAATCAACTGGATAATGTCAAATTTTCCTCCCTGAAAACAGAGTGGGGAAGTTTACTCGGTTGAAAGTCAGAGCAGCATTCTTTTGCTTTAACATGCAATTGTTGGTTCTAGAAGGCAGGTGGGGCCTAGTGCTGTCATTTTGATAGATGCATTCAAGTGCTCACTGCAGCAGGGATGGCAGACACAAACTAGGACTCTTATTCGTACTGTTTCTGCTGTCCAGGGTGAGCTTGGACCCATGAATGTTTTAAACAAACAAGCACTGGGACCTGCACATTAAGGGGCAACCATTGAAGGTTTGTTGTTTTTCCATGAATGGTGAAGATTTCAGACAAACTTTCTCTAGAAATGGTTTGAGATTACTGCGGAAGCAGAAGGAAGGAATGTCTGCAGAAACACTTCCCTTGGCTGTCCTTGTGGTTTTTATTCTCAATGGTCTTTCCATCCCCTCAGCTGTATCTCACTGATTCTTGTGCAGCTTATCACCATGTTACATAAAGAATATGTTGTTAAACAGGGTGTCGTGGGCATCTGTCGATTTCTGCATGCCTGATATCCCCTCCTTCCTTCTTCTGGCAGCATCACCCCAATTTTCTTTTGGAGAACCATTTCTCTTTATTCAGTCCATGTAGTTTGGTGGGGGGGGGGGCTGACCCTCTCCTCTGGCCCATGGGCTGGGTCAGGGCTGGTCTAAGACCAGCCGTTGAGAGTATGGCATGACCCTGATCACAGTGATTAATTCAGCAGTGGGCATGTGGCCCTTATTAGGCCAATCAAAGCCAATGGCATCTGCCTGAGGCCTTTGATGAAACTTCTGGCAAAGAGGTATTCTCTTTTCATTGAGGTTACTAAGCTGGTGAGGTATAAGGAGCAGCCTGACACCACCATGTAGAGATGGCTAGCCTGAGAATGATGCCAAAACAGAGAACAGATGTAAGAGATGGAGGGAGACAGATTCCTGATGATGATGTTTGAACGCCTGCGTTCAGCCATGCCTGAAGCCTGAAAATTACTCCAGGACTTTTTAGTTATGTTACCCTCCACCCCATAAAAAAAGACTTTTTCCCCCGCTTAAGCCAATTTGGGTTGGATTCTGTTACTTACAAACTATTTTGAAGAGGTATTTCTCCCTTTTTTTTTTAAGCATCAGAGAATTTTTGAAGTTGAATATTATAATTTTTTTCCCATCCCATTCTCGTACTTGTCAATGACTTATTCATGGACAGGACTGCAAGGACATTTCTTCCTCCTCTCTTATCCCACATGCAAAATACACAGTGCCAGCTAATGACTATGACCAAAAACATCCACTCCTTGGAGACACTACAATAATAATTAGGACCCAATCAATAGGATGGAGGTGCCTGGGGCTGGGAGGAAAGACTCACAGTGCCAAAAACCAGAATGTCAAAACGGATCCCAAAGACTTTTATCAGAGTTCGCTTTTCAATGTTGTTTTCCTTATAGTACTTGGCAAATCTGTAGGAGAAAAGGGATCCATATTTATAAAGATCTCTTTGAAAGTACTTGTATTTTATGAAAAGAAAAACCAAAGTCCTCCTTATCCATCTTTAGCTCTACTACAGTTGGACAGGTGATGTGGAGAAGTGGCCCTTTGGTTCCAGGCTGTCAGAGAGTGATTCATGGGTAATCGTGATTCATCAGTAACCATGAATCGCTCTCTGACAGCCTGGAACCAAAGGGCCACTTCCCCATGTCACCCCCTTTACTTCCATCATCACAGAGTGATAGGAAATCGGCTTTTAGTTTGAGATTAAAATGAGCAATTTTTAACCAGCAACAAGCAGAGAAGTTTTAAAAAATAGTATCAAATCAATTTGATTATTCCTTAAGAGAGAAAAATAGGTTTAGCTTCTAGAACAAACTGTGTGTGTGTGTGAATCTTAGATACTAATTACTGGATTGGGGACAGGGGCACCTCAGCAATCTGTTTTAACTGTATTTTCTTAGATTCTGTATTCTTCTATTTGGCAATCATTAATCATGCATGTTTTTCCATGCAGGGCCAAACTAAAGGCTAAAGTTTTTGCATCTTCCCTGCACTCCAGCTTTTGTGAGTGTGTGAAAACCATATTACAAACCCTCCAACAAATCCCGAGTCCATACCCCCAACCACCTCCTTGATCTAACTCACACACCAAGCCAATATTTCTCCTGCCACAAATCACCCGGAATCAGGTAGGGCCAGGACCAGACAACTAGAAACCACCCCTATATAGCACAGAGCCCACTGCTTTGATTCACACTAGCCAACCCTAAGCTGTTTCCCAGCCCTGCCTTGCCTTTGCCATGGAAAACACAATAAAGCTTCTGGGCTGTACTTTCCTCTCACTTCTACCTTCTGACCAAACCGGTGCTTCTCCCTGTGGCCCTGCATGGTGTGATGTGCCACCATCTCTTGGGAAATACACATAATCAATTCTTTCAGTGGCATTAGCCTCTCTATGTCATCATTTAGTCATCTTTATAAATTAAGACCCAGGTGCAAATCACAATCACCCCAAATATGCGACTCTCACCAGTGCTGCAGTCAAGGAAAGTGGTATGTTTTATTTTTTCTGAATAATTAGGAAGGCCTAAGCCACGTGCTTCATGCAAACTTTATATCTGTCCCTCTCATCAGCTTTTTCTGGTTGTTTTTAGATAAGGGTATATATTTTCTCTGAGTTATTAATTCACAATCTATTTACAGGTGTTGGGAGAGAAGAAAACACAGATGCTCTGCCAAAACATAGTATAGAAACTATGAAATTCTTTTTCTAAAAAACTCTCAAAATCTGACATTGAGATTGGTTAGATATTCTCAGGTACCTCAGTGCCTGTTTCTGGGGTTTCAATTTCTTTACTTCTGATTATTCCCATTCCAATACAGTTCATTCTTCTGCTATATTGATTGATTTGTTTTTAAATGTACAAGCAAACATCTTTCACCACTCCATGCTCCAGGGTTGGGGTTATCTCCCTGTGCAACTTGATTTTCCTGGGAAGGTTAACATCGTACAGTATTTAAATGTCTGCTTTCAGGGTCTTGCTACAGTGGTTATTAAACTGAGGGGAAGAATCACTTGGGGGGGGGTGTTTAAAAGTCAGACTCCTGGGCCACCCCCAAAGATTGGTTTCAGAAGGTTCTAGATGTTTCTTGGAATCTGTATTTCCAGTAAAGTTCCCGTGTGATTATGATGCAGGTGGGCGGGGGCTACGTTCTGTGAAACATTGGGCCCTGGACAGGATGTTTCTTGCATACTGCGATGGGTTGAATTGTGGCCCCCCAAAGAAATGTCCAAGCATGTAATTGCCAGTACCTGTGAATTTGACCTTATTTGGAAATAGGGTCTTGCAGACGTAATTAAGTTAAGGATCTTAACATGAGATCATCCTGGATTTAGAGTAGTCCATAAACCCAATGATTGGTGTCCTTATAAAGGAGAGGGAGATTTAAGACATAGAGATACAGGGGAAAAGGCCATTTGAAGATGGAGACAGAGATTGGAGTGATGCGTTCACAAGCCAAGGAATGCCTGGAGCCACCAAAAGCTGGAGGAGGCCAGGGAGGATCCTCCCCTAGAGCTTTCAGAGGGAGAGTGGCCCTATAGACACCTTGATTTTGGACTTCTGGCCTCCAGAACTGTGACAGAATGAATTTCTGTTGTTTTAACCACCAAGTTTGTATTAATTTTTTGTAGCAACCACAGGAAACTAATACACACACGTACTCGTCGTGGACCTGAGCGGTGCATCGTACATTCTGTGCCCCTACTTTATACAGGTTGTGAATAAAAAACTGAATCACATGTTCACTGAATAAGGACATTTTTGCCATGGATCTTTTGTAAAGGACAAAATTCTGTAATGTAATCAACTTCTTCAACTTTCTATGTTTTAGAAAGCTATATTTTCTCACATACTTTATCTAACCTGTAATTTCCTTCTCTTTCGTGTGGCTATTTGAAAATAAGTTGTCCATTTACCCATCAGATCCCAACAGTTTATTTTTGACCAAGATTTCCTCTGGTGCTCATTCCAGACAACAAATGTTCTAACACTTTGTTCTAAAGGAGTATTCACATCATAACCACCTCAGGTCTTCAGAAACCTCAGATCTCTCCAGGAGCATATGTTCTTAGGCTTAGCTCAACGACTCAAAGGATATCTGATTGGTACATTGCCCTGCATGCTTCTGCCAACTTCTAAAAACACAGCCTGGAAGGGCAGTCAGGGGACTACTGATCCTGTCCTCTCTTCTTGCTAATGGCCATAAGCCCATTCAGCACAGCAGCAGGGGACAATCAAAGTTACCTAAACTAGGAGCTGGTTTCAGGGTCCTGGATGAAACTCCATCTACTCAGAGGAAGCAAAAAACATCAACCATCCTTTATATCTAGGGTTTCAAACTCAAATGCCAGGCATAGAACAGAAATAAGTGATGGCAGATTGGGTATAAGGCAATAAGGAGGGGTGGGGACAGTGACAATCCAAAAAACACATCCCTTTCTATAAGGGACCACTGATGCTCAACTCCAGCCAATGGCTGCCAGGTGGGATATGGACCCAGGGTTGTGAAAAAGTTTGATTTTTTTCAAATAGTTTAATTTTTTTTAAGAGAATCAGGAAGTCCAGATTTTTATGTAGAAGTCTCAAGCTTTAAAACATTGTGAGGCCTAAACAAATAAACAAAAATATCAGCACAGTTAAGGGCCTCCTGCCAGGTGATGAGGCTGCTTTGAGTAGAATATAAATAGACCCATTTGCTTGAGCAGACCCCTCCAGAAGTCAGCAAGAATGCTAGTAGGAGGGTCAGGAAGTGGTGAGGGGCGTGTGTGCATATGTGCACGTGCACTCCTGCGTGCACGTGCATGTACAGATTAAGTAGACACTTTATTTTAGTCATTCCCCCAGGAGCTAGCAACCTGGGTGTAGAGACAAAATATAGTCAGGTGAAACATCTAAGAAGAAAGTACATTTGAGGTGCTAGATGATATAGTCTAGATCAGTACTTCTCAAACTTTAGTACGTACACAAATCTCCCAGGGATCTTGTTAAAAGTGCAGAGTTTGATTCAGTAAGTCAAGGGTGGGGCCTGAGGTTCTGCATCTGTAACACGCTTCCAGGTAAGGGCTGGCTGGTTAGTTCAGTTGGTTAGAGTGTGGTGTTGTGACACCAAGGTCGAGGGTTCAGAGCCCCATGCCCTCCAGCTGCTAATAAAAAACAAACAACAACAACAAAACAAGCTCCCAGGCAAAGCTGATGCTGCTAGTTACAAGACCACATTTTGAGTGTCAAGGGTCTAGATCCAGCTCTCAGACTTGAGTGAACATTAGAATCCCCCTGGAGGCTTGTGAAAGCAGATTTCTGGGCCCTGCCTCCAGAGTATCTGATTCAGTAGATTTAGAGTGGGGCCCAAGAATGTGCATTTCTAACAAGTTCCCATGTGATGCTGATGCTGGGGACCACACTTTGAGAACCACTAGTCTAGACTGTAAATACTAAAAGGATCCAGAGAAGTTGATTCTCATAACATGGACTCCTGTCTGGGCAGTTTCTTTTCTTAATTAGGAAAGCACAATCCTCAGGAAAGCGGACAATGCCTGCAGGGCTCCTACCCCGATGCTTGGAGAGGCCTTTTCTGATCACATCTCCCCCATCACACTATATTGTCTGATTTTCTTTGCAGCACTTATCATCTGAGATGGTCTTGTTGGATTTGTTCATTTGTTCTATTGAGGTGTAATTTACATATAACAAGATGCACAAGCCCTAAGTATTCCTTTCAATGAGTTTTGGCATATGAATACCCTGTATAACCTACACCCCTATCAAAATCTAAAATATTCCTTTATCCTAGAAAACTTTCTTGTACTCCTTTCCAGTCAACTCCCCAGCCCAGCTACCTCTGTTCTTCTTTCATCATAGATGAGCTTTGCCTGTTCTTGAACTTCATATAAATGGCATCATACAGTATGCACTCATTTAGGTCTGGCTTCTTTCACTCCACCTAATGTCTGTGCGACTGATTCATCTGTTGTTGCGTGGATCATTAGTTTGTTCCTTTTAAATTTATATGAAGTAGTGTTTTATTGTATAAATATGAGGATACTTTATCATTGCACACTGTATAAATGTATCCAAATGTCATATTGTACTCCTTAAATATATACAACTATCATGGGTCAATTAAGAAAAAATGAATTAAAAAGAAAAAAATTTCAGAGACAGAAATAGATTAGAGGTTACCAGAAATGGGGGGCAGGGGGGTGGGGAATAAAGAGCAGTTATTACTTAATGGGTACAGAGTTTATATTTAGGATGACAAAAAGTTTTGGAAATAGATACAGGTAGTGGTTGCACAGTGTGGTGAATGTAATTAATTCCATGCAATGATATATTTTAAAATGGTCACTGGCTGAGCGCGGTGCGGGTGACACCACACCAAGGGTTGCAATCCCCTTACCGGTCACAAAAAGGACAAAAAAAGGGCCGGCCCAGTGGCGCCAAGGGTTCGGATCCCACATACAGACCGGTTCCCGCTCACTGGCTGAGCGAGGTGCGGGTGCAACACCGAGGGTTGCGATCCGTTGCCGGTCACGAAAAAAAGACAAAAAAAAAAAAAGAAAAGAAAAGAAAAAGTATTAAAAAAAAAAAAAGAAAAATGCTTAAAATGGCAATTCTTATGTTATATGTTTTACCACGATTAAAAAATGGGGGAAAAAGGGAAGTACAAAAGATTTACTAGTAGTCGTCTCTGAGTGGTTAGGTTACAGGCTGAATTTATCTTCTTAATTTTGCTTACCTCTTTTCTTCCAAATATTCTATGATAAATATAAATCTTTTGTAATAAAATAGAAAAAAATAAAAATAAATATGAGGGTACTTCAAGAAGTTTATGGAAAAATAGAATTAAAAGATAATGCAAAACTTTCCATGAACTTTTTGAAGACCCCTCATATACTACAGTTTATTTATCCATTCACCTGTTATTGGACATTTGGGTTGTTCTGGTTTGGGGCTATTATAGACAAGGCTGCTACGAACATTCTTGTATGATCTTTGTGTGGACATATATTTTCATTTTTCTTGGGTAAATACCCAAGAATGAGATTCTGGAATTTCTGGATTATAAAGTAAATAGATGTTTAACTTTGTAAAAAACTTCCCAACAGTTCTCTATTGTGGTTGTGCCGTTTTACACTCCAGCAAGGAAAGTAAGAGAGTTCCATTTGCATGTCTCCTTGCCAACATTTGGAATTGCCAGTCTTTTATTATTTTACCATTCTCATGGGTATGTAGTTGTATCTTATTGTGATTTTAATTTGCATTTCCCTAATGGCTAATGATGTTGAGTTGGTGGAATTTTTCATTTACTTATATTGTTTATTTATCCCTACTACAATATAGGTTCTATGAAAGTAGCGATCTTGTCAATTTTATTTACCAATATATAGCCATTGACACAACAAATTATTTTTTCTATAATATATATTTGATGACCAAATGCATGAGGAATGTCAATATCAATTTCCTACCAGCTTCATAGGCAAATTGTATAACCGTTATTCTAGGGGTGTACTTGGCAACTCTTTCTGAAAAGAGAACAGCATAAGCCTATTTTGTGTCTAGTACCAGGGCACAAAATGACCAGCCATAACCACAGTCAAAGAAACCTGTCTGTCACCCACAGGCAATGATAGGTCATGGAGACTGTGTTAGGGACAAGTTACTACTTGGGACAGAGTTGTAGGAACGGGCTAGAAAAAAAAAAAGATCCAGACATGGGAAGGAAGGTGGGAACTAAGTTAGGATGGCACAGGATCACCACCGGTGAAAGTCAGGAGCACAGGAGTGAGCTCTGCAGAGGGTCAAAACAAGAATGAGTCAGCACTAGGCCAGCAGGGAGGAGCTTAAGAGGGCAAATGAACCAGAATTCTAGTGAATTCATAAGTTCAGAAGCCAGAAGCATACGCGTAAAGGTAAGACAACACCACAGGTGAGGACACAGTATGGCTCCTGCTATCAAGAGTCTCCAAACTGCTCTTCCCAAAGGGACTTCCAATCAAGATGGCAGCCTGAGCTAGGACAGGAAGCCCTACCACCTTCCACCTCATACCCATAGAAGTATGAGATAAAATATTTTTATTTTATTTTTTGGTGGCTGGCCAGTACGGTGATCTGAACCCATGACCTTGGTTTTACCAGCACTACTCTCTCCCAGTTAAGCTAGCTGGACAGTCCTTATTTTATTTTATTTAATTAATTTTTTTTATGGCTGGCTGGTATAGGGATCAAACCATAGACCTTGGTGTTATCAGCACCACACTCTAACCAACTAAGCTAACTGGCCAGCCTATAAATACTTTTAAAAAGTCATATCAAAACATTATTGAGCTCAAAATTAGAAGGACGTTTTTCTAGGTGCTACACATGACTAGTGAGTGGGGATTGAAGCCATGTGACCCTTAGGACTGCCTGAACTAGATCCGATCTGAGGAGCTAGAGCTTTAGCATGCTTATTGGGAAGGGGGCTAGGGCTGCAGAAGCCCTACACAGCAAGGGAGCAGGAACTGGATTCTTTCAGTAGAGCGAAGAAATCCCAAGCCCAGAAATGAAACTAAAAACTGGTTCACAATTGGTAGATGCCAAACAGTCCCAGGAGGAGCAACTACAAAATTATATAATCACCCCAAAGAATGACTCCATATCCCACGGCACATACAGAATTTTGCATAAGATCATTCCTGCTGAGGACAAGCCCACCAACAAATATTCCAAAGCCTTCACAGAGAAATCACACCCATATTTCTGCAAATAATAGGTCAGTACAAAGGGAACTATATAGTAGAGGGACAAAAGGAATAGAATCCATAAGGTAAGAGTGGAACTCACTGAAACAATAATAGATGGCTTTGAAAAAGAAGCAAATAAAAATCCTAGTATTGAAAAATATAGCTGTAGAATTTTTTTAAAATCTGAAATCATATTATAAAATGTTCATAACCTTTGATCCAATCATTCAACTTCTAGAAACTTATCCTAAGGAAATAACCTGGAATTCAAAGATTTATATGCTAAAATGTACACTGCGGATTTGTATATAATAGAAAAACTGGCAACAACTGAAATGTCCAGTAGTGGAGGCTGAGTGGGGGAATCATGAGATGGAAGGGAAAGAGTGTGAGGTTTGGGGTCAGAGTGACCTGGGTTGGAATTATGGAGCAATAGCTAATCTACTATTAGCTGTGGGTCTTAGGCAAATCATTTAACCTTTCCTGGCTTTAGCCAGGAACACTAATATCTACCTTTCAGTGTTGTTGGGAGGTTTAGAGATGATAATGGTAAGTGCCTAGAAAGACTCCCTAAATTATAACAATTGTTATCAGTACACCCATACAATGGGATGTTACTATCATTAATGTGATGGTCACAAAGGAATTCTGAGTGATTGGGGTATGAAAAAAAACCACAGAATACCAGGTGATATGTCTGATATGACCTCATATGAGCCTCATGAGAGAATTGGTATAGATGAAGGAAAATTCACCCTAGGGTTATCATTGATTATCTCAGAGTAGAGAAATTATGGGTGATTTTTATCCTCCTCTATGTTTCTCATTTCCCAAGTTTTATTTTGTTTTACAAAGAGTGTGTACCTCTTTGATAATTAAAAAGAAAAAATTATCACAGAAAATTCAATCACTGCCTAGTTCTTACAAGAAGTCTTTTTCATTCATCTTGTTGCCTTGGGAACCAGAACTCGTCTTACTGACTGCTGGGGGTGCAATTCACCTGGGACTGGGAGCCCCTTGCAGAGCCCAGGGCAGCCAGCTGTCACTTGAAGGGCAGTTACCTGAAGTTGTAGCCAGGGAACAAGGACTCTTTGGTGGTCTTATCATCAAGGCGACGGAAGCTGTACTTGGGACGGCAGTGGTGGGACCAACTGTCCAGGTTGCAGTCCCAGTAGATCTCAATGCCCATGATTCCTCCCTGGGGGAATCAATGAGAGACTGTCTCTAAGTCTTCTGGACGTGGGTTATGCAACTGCTAGACATCTTCCTGCATAGCAGTGGTTGCTGGAGGAAAGCTTTTCTCTTTAGAGGAAAAATGCTAATTAAAGGTTTCAGAGCCATACATGCAGCCTTATCAAACTTGCACGAGTATTACTATGGCAGCTGCAAACACATTGCCCTGTTCTTCCTCCATTTGTCTTTGTAAGAGAGAGGCAGAAGGAGATTTGACACTGAACAAGCAGTGTGACAGCTGAAGCAAGATAGCCACACTGCTGGTGTTGAAGATGGAGGAAGGGGCCATAAATCAAAAATGCAAAGAATGCACTCTAGAAGGTAGAAAAGGCAAGAAAATGGATCCTCTGCTAGAGCCTCCTGAGGGAGCATGGCTCTGCTGACAGCTGGATTTGGGCTCAGTGAAACTAATTTTGGACTTCTTACCTCCAGAAATGTAAGAAAATGTGTGTTGTTTTAAGCCACCAAGTTTGTGATAATTTGTTACAGCAGCCACAGAAAACTAATACACTGAGTAGCTCACTCATAAGGTTGTTGTGGGATTAGATGAAGTAAGGTAGGGAAAGCCCTTGACACCATGCACAGATTTACTAACTTCTCAATAAATGTGGGCCATATTAAGACCCAGTGGCCTGGCTGCTTGGCCATTTGACATCTTCCATCCCCTGACACACACACCCACCCCACTGTACAAAGACATCACCAACCTGAATTGCCATGTCTGAAAAATTATCTCCTGTTTCTTGGAAGATATCTCCCAGTCGGAAAATGGGGCACTGTGGATTCTGAGTCTTGTGAAAGGTACAACTGCTGTTGAAATTCGGCAAGATGTTTCTCCTGCTCATAATTAAAAGCAAACAAACATCTCTATTGAAAACAGATCCATCTCTTTCATAGGAGTGAGCCAGTGTGGTAGTTGGGCTCCATGAAGATCCTGGTGATCACCACCTCCTGGGGACCCTTGTGTAGTGTCCTCTCACTACACAGAGTTGTACCAGAGTTGGTCTGGGTGACTAATAGCGTATGGCAGAAGCGATGGAGTGTCACTTCCAACTTGGTTACTCTCTTGCTTGCTCTCTGTCTTTCTTGGATCACTTGCTCTGGGGAAAGCCGGTCACCATGTCCTAAGGAGACTCAAGCTTTCCTAGGAAGAGGTCCACGTGGTGAGAAACTGGGACCTCCTGCCAACGATCACATGAATCAGCTTGGAAGAGGAATCTCCAGCCCAGTTAAGCCGGGAGATGACTGTAGCCCCAGTGACAGCTTGACTGCAACCTGAGAGACCCTGATCTAGAAGCTCCCTGCAAAGTCATTCCTGGATTCCTGATGCACAGAAACTGGGAGACAATACATGTTCATCATTTTAGGCATCTAAGCTTTGGGGTAATTTGTTATGCAGCAGCAGCAGATAACTAACACAGCCAGACATTCTAGGCACTTACGTTGTATAGTTGTGGCCGGGGAAATCGATATTGTTCTTGATGAGCACAGTGAAGTTTTCAGCACTGTTCAAGAGCGCAGGCCTGGGAGAGAGATGCAAAATGGTGATCACTGACTACAGGTACCAAGGGAGTCAGTCGGCAGTGGGGCCAGAGGCTCCTGGTTTCTTGCTTTGGTCTTTGGTTTGAGTGAAGAGAAATGGATACAGCAACTTAGTGGACAAAACCTTTCATAATTCTCCATAAAGCCTCTCTAGCTTCTCCAAGAAGAATTTCTCCTTTCATGAAACCCCATGACATTTACTGTGTCGCTTCTCACACTCTGACATAATTATATGTTTAAGTATGTGCAGTGATGTGCTGGTAAGTGCTTAGCAACCAGCTCACCAGGAAAAAAAAAAAAAAAAAAGCCTGGATATGCAGTGTTTCTGATTATCATGGTGTAAATAGTCCCACCATGGCTGATTTCAAGCTACCAGCAGGACATCACTGAACTTGAAGTTGGGAAGGGATGAGCATAATCGGCTCAAAGCTGGTACATGCCAACTCTGGCACACCCATTTGTAGCTTTCCCAATAGGCTTGGAGTTCCCACCTATAATTGTCTTATCTTGACTTCCCCAACCTTAAGCACAAGGCCACACACATATAGTTGACTGTATCAGCCATTCACTAGAGATTATGAGTGCCTACAACTCTCCATGAGTTACAGGATCCCAAATTCTAGACTATGCAAAGGTCCACCTGCCATCCACCCATCTGTTTATTCAATACATATAATTGTTTTGGGCACGAGGCTGGGCACTGGGGATATAGTGATGAATGAGACAAGACAAGCCTTTTGTCCTTTTGTGGTTGATAATCTATTAATGATGGAGAAAACTGCGGGTAAAAAAATACAGCTGGTACCCTGTTGTCTGGCATGCCTGAGTAGGTGGTAGATATGTACTGGGAGTAGCGATAGAAAAGGGTGGAGGGTATTTGGAAGGGGCATCAAGAATGCTCTACCTTTTATTCCAGAACTTTCAGAAACCAGCTTTGGCTCTGTTTGGCATATAGCTATTGTGAACACTGTAATTTTTGTCTTTCCAGCCTCCATTCCCCCTTCTGGCAGTACCATCTCAATTTTCTCCCTTTGGGGAAAGCAGCTCTCTTCCACTCTCCTTCTAGAGGGTTGAGTGGGGATGACACCACCTCCTTCTGTCCCTACAGCTCGTGGGTGGGCCAGTGACCCAAGCTGCTAGACACTGTGATCCATTCTCCCTGGCCACAGTGATTGGTTCATAGGTGGTCACATAAGTTAGTCATGCCAACAAGAACATTCCAGGGCTTTTGTGGGAGCAATTGGGAAAGAGAAACTCATTTTAGCTGGGATTGTTAGTAGCAAGGACGAGATAAACCTGGAATTCCTCAGACCACAGTGTGAGGTGAGGAAAACTAAAATGGAAGAAAGAATAACAGGGAGGGGTGGGGGAGGGAGGAAGAGAGAGAGAGAAAGAGAGAGAATTTTAATGACATCATTTGAAGCCTGGATCAAGCTGAGCCTGACTCTGGAGTCAAAAATGTAGCCAGAAAATAACACCCCCTCTTTTTCTGAAGCCAGTTTAAGTTGAATTTCTATCACTTGCATTTATGCAAATGCCCGATATGTGCTGGACACTTTGTTCTTAAAACATTCTACATCCAACACTTCCTGGGCAATACTCAAAGAATCAGAGGACTATGATATCCTGAAACTTTAAGGATCAAAGCTCTTCATTCCTCTATTATGACACCTATATCTTTCTATCTTGAATTACAACTCTTTATTCATGTGTTTTATATCTTCTATTGGACTGCAAGAGGCTTGGGACTTGCTCCATATCTAGGTCTTCTGGTATTTTACGTAGAGTTCAGCACAGTCTCTTGTGCCTAGTTACACATGAAATAAATATCTAACACCTACTGTGTTGTGACAGACTTGTTGAATAAATGGTTAAATGAACCATCTTATCTGATTTATGTAACATATGAGGAAACTGAAGTTTGGGGAGTTTCTTGCTCAAGGTTAAGTCAAAATGCAGCCCAGGGACAAGCACACTGAAGACACGATATTTATATGATGAATGAGTTGGTGGCAGAGCTGAAAACCACAGCCAGTCAAGAGACCCTTTGTTGTGAACCAAGGACTACTTTAGTGTACATGGATGTCCCTGCCAGGGCTGGGCAATTCCTTCTGGGTAGAGGATTAAAGCCAGACTGTGTGATGCTGCCTCATGAATCTCCCCCACCCCGCAACACCGGGGAACCTTTTCCTGAGCCTTCTACAAGCCAGCTTGGGGCAGTTTTCTCTTTGCTCCACAGATGCTGATGGAGTGGTCCTGAGTCACGCTGGGCTAGAATTGTGCTGTCCAATAGGGTAGCCACTAGCCATGTGTGCCTATTTACATTTAATGAAATTAAATAAAGAATTAAGTTGTTCAGTTACAGTAGCCACATTTCAAGTGCTCCATAGACACATGTAGCTACCATATTGGATAGCACAGGTACAGAATATTTCCATCATTGCAGAAAGTTCTATTGGACGGTGCTGGTCTAGAACCACCACACTTCTAGGGGCAGATCCTGTGTGTGTGTGTTTGTGTGTGTGTGTGTGTAAGCCAGGCATGAGGCTCACTTTACAATAACTGTACAATTGTCATCTCATTGAATCCTTACAAAAGCCCTATGAGGTAGGTGCAATTATTATTCTCATTTTACAGATGAGGGGAAGCTCATAAAGGTTAAGCCACTTGCCCAAAGTCACACAGCAAAGATGTGTTTGAACTAGGATTTGAATCTTTCTAACTGTTCTCTGCTGAAATGCATCAGCCCTGTGGTTTCTGAGATTTAACATCCTGACCTGTGCATTGAAGAGAAGAATCAATACAGGGGACCACCAAATCTGTATGTCACTGTGAGCACTGAATTTGAGAAAACTTCCCTTTCCCTTCTTCTTTCCTCTTCCTTTCCCCCTTCTCCTTCCTTCCTTCCCTCTCTTCTCTTATTCTTAATCACTCAGTGTGGACACTGACCTGTCAAAATGGACCCTGCTGTGGCACTAGAGGGGGGTACTGGAGGTGCCTGGAAGGTGCTGGTACAGCCAGGGGAACAGGGGCACCCAAGGGTGCTGGGGTAGTAGCTATATACAAGCTGGTACAGAAATATTTCAAAATTTTAACAACCAGCATGATCCTCCCAGAGATACGAGTTTGTGCCAAGCAGTGTGCCTGGTACAGGGATCCCAAGCCAGTAAGACCCAGGACTTTGTGGGGCTGCTCTGAGAAGGGAAAGCCCGAGCTGCCTGGTAAGGCCTCATCTGCTCACTTGTGAGGGCCACCGTGTCTGTCCCTTCCTTACAACTTACCGGGGGGCCTCTTCTGCTGCTTCGATGGGACACCAGGCAGCGACTTCACAGGTCTTCTGGTTCCCTTTATACACTATACACCTTCCGGTCTGAATTCCTGTGGGGGCCAAGGGGTCACAGAACCACAGATGTGAAATTGCTGTAGAGAGGAAATTCTCCAGGAGTGGCATTTTGAACTCAACCCAAGCAAAAGACTATTTATGCTTTTCAACCCAAGCAGTTTCAGTTTCCATGAAACCCTATCCTAACCATAAATGTACAGAAGGTAAAGCAAAGCAAAACACTGAACTTAGTTAATCTTTTTTTTAAAAGGACTATAGAGGGCACAGAAAGACTATGGATTCTGTTGGTTTCTTCACAGAAAAAGATGCTTGTGAGGGGAGCTGAACAGGGCGTATCTCTTGCCTGGAATAAATGGACTAGAACTCGGCTTCTCAAGTGGGCATCTGAGTCCTGAAAGGGGTACACAGCCTGTCCAGGGATGTGCAAAGCCACAGGATAAATATGATGCATCTTCTCGGAGTGTGAGGAAGATGAGCAGATTTCCAAGGGAGAATTAAATAGTAAGCAGCGTTAAAAGGATCCCTATACCAACTCAAATATGCATGCATTATGGAATAGAATACAACGTTCATATGCCTTTGTGCACATGTGTTATAACCATGGATGGATCCTTTTCTTTTTTGTGGTATTTTAAAAATTGTCATGTTCCTTTTTAAGTTACAACATGAGATAAGGAAATTCTGCAGGTTAATATGGGTATTGCCCCAGCTGCCTTGGGGGTATAAGTTAATTCTCCTCAGCCTTTGGGGAAATTCAGGGAGAAAGTTTAGAATACTCAGATGATGCTATAAGTCATCTGACTTTTTTTTTTTTCTTTTTTTTTTTTTTCATGACCGGCAACGGATCGCAACCCTCAGTGTCGCACCCGTACCAGACCGGGACTGGCAACGGGATTGCAACCCTCGGTGTTGCCCCCGCACCTCACTCAGCCAGTGAGCGGCTGGTCCGTATGTGGGATCCGAACCCTCGGTGGGAGCGCCGGTGCGCTTCCCAAGCGGCGCACTGTAGCAGTGCGCCACCGGGCCGGCCCATCTGATTTTTTTAAAACCAATTAGAACTGTGAATCTGCTAGGTTTTCCAGAGCTTCTCTCACTGGGAAATTGCAGTCACACTCACAGTTAGCAGCTGATCTGTTGGGGACAGAGCTATGGCACAGGTTGGGGGCTAGGGGTAGGGTGGGGGCTGCAGGCTAGCCTATGGTTTGGTGATGTTGGAAGAAGGCAGCTGAGAGCCAGAAGTTAAAGACCTGAACTGGGTATTGTAAATGTCACCAAGAGGCTGATCATCCACCCCCAGGGGCTAAGAAAAAGAAAAACAAGGTACCTTTGCTCTGTGGGTCCATCCATCCCTTTTTACAACCCCGGTCAGAGGAACAGAGCGTCCTGCGGTTGGGATACTGCAGGGAGAAGGAGAGGATAGTGGGGAGTGAGCAACGTGTGTTACTCAGATATGGAGATGCAGATGTCTATGACCACACGAAAACCTGCACCAGAATGTTCACAGTAACCCAAGAGTGGAAACAGCCGAAATGCCCACAGATGAATAGACAAATAAAATGTACATTCATACACAGACTCTCATTTAGCCATAAAAAGGATGAAGAACTGATATACATGCTATGACGTGGATGGACCTTGAAATCATTTTGCCAAATGAAAGAAGCCAGATACAAAAGACCACATCTTATATGATTCCATATATATACAATGTCTAGAATAGGGAAATCCATAGAGACAGAAAGCAGACTGGTGGTTGCCAGGGGCTGGGGGAGGGAGGAATGGGGAGTGACTGCTGATGGGTATGGGGTTTCCTTTTGGGGTGATGGAAAAGTTCTGGAATTAGATAGTGATGCTGGTTGGCTAGAATAGACTAAAACCCAACGAATCGTACACTTTAAAATGGTGGATGTTATAGTATGTAAATTATACCTTACTAAAAAATTTTAAAAAGTAGAAATTTAAAAACCAGATTCAGAACAGCCAGGAACCACTTTCGGGGATAGACCTTGGGGTGGAGAGCAGGTGGCCTGGTCCCAGTTGCCCTGTGGCTGCAGAACTGAGCAATGCAGACAGGTGCAAAGGCTCAGCAGGAAACATGGCAATAAGAGACGTCAGCCAGCACTCTCTCCTGGCCTGAGAAAATGAGATCAGTTGTGTCTCAGGGCTGAAGGACAGAATAAGGAAAAGAGAAATAAGTTGACTCCCATTTTCTAGGGAACAGGTTTAATGACCAGTCTTAGGGAAGCCAGAACATGTGTGAAAATAACTTCTGCTCATTGTCCTCTGTGCAGTTAGTGGCTTTTACAATGATTCAGGGCAATGACCTAGGTACACCTGGGTTTGGCAATAGCCACAGCATTTTCTAGCTCAGTGACCTTGGCCAAGTCACTTCACCTCACTGAGCCTCAGTTTCCTCACCTTTAAAAGGAGGATGGACAGATTTGTCTTATATGGTTGTTGCAAAGATTAGACGAGTTATGAAAAGAAAGGCTTAGCACGTAGTACTTGCTCAATGAATGTTTCTTCCTTTTTTTTTTTTTGTGACCGGTAAGGGGATCACAACCCTGGGCGTGGTGTCGGCCGGCCGCACCGTGCTCAGCCAGTGAGCGCACTGGCCATCCCCATATAGGATTTGAACCCGCGGTGGGAGCGCCACTGCGCTCCCAGCGCTGCACTCTCCCGAGTGAGCCACGGGGTCGGCCCTCAATGAATGTTTCTTATAGTTTTCATACTCTCTCATGTTCTCTTTTATTCCCAGAATGCCTTCCTTTTGTCATCCTGCATGCTCCTGGTTTCCTCCTTTGCCACCCACCAAATTGGACTATGAACCCTTTGAGTGCAAAACCTGGGTCATATCTGTAGCTGGAGTGGCTGACACATAGTAGATCTTAATAAACATGGAATGAAAGGATGGATAAATGAATGAGTGACCATTTAGTGTGGCTCATGGAAAGTTATGTTATTTTTATTATCAACTGGAAGGATATCTCAGGAAAGAAGATCAATTAATTCTATTTTGCTCTCCAAAAGAAATTCTTCTAAAATTAACCACAACAACATTTGTTTTGTTTTAATCTTCTCTTTTGTGAATGTTACATGGATTAAAGATGGCCACAAATTCTTGGTCACTCGCCCCATTGAGAGGTGGAGTGTTTCTCCCTCCCTTTGAAGCTGGGCTTTTGCTGTGACTGCATAACAAACAGAAGGCAGCAGAAGCAACACTGTGCCAGCTCAGTGGCTCAGCCTGAGCCTTAAGAAGGACTGAAAGCTTCTGCTTTTTTGCTTTTGGGGAACCTGAGCTGCTTTTAGAAAGTCTGACTACCTTGCTGGAGAGACAATATGGAGAAACACTGCAGAGAGGAAAAGTCTCGAGAGTTCCCTCAAGGGAAGAGATGCCAAGTGAGCCTCCACATGATGCAAACCCCAGCTGCCATCTGACTGTGACTCTGTGAGAGACCCCAAATGAGACCAGCAGAAGAATCACCCAGCTGAGCTCAGTTAACCACTGAATGTGAGAGTTTAAAAAGTGCTTTTTTTTTTTTTTTAAAGATGATGGGTAAGGGGATCTCAGCCCTTGACTTGGTGTTGGCAGCACCATGCTCTCCCAAGTGAGCCACGGGCCGGCCATCCCTATATAGGGATCTGAACCCATGGCCTTGGTATTATCAGCACCGCACTCTTCCAAGTGAACCACGGGCCGGCCCAAAGTGCTTGTTGTTTTAAGCCCACCAGGTCCAGGGTAGTTTGCTTTGCAGCAACAGATAACTGGGACAAATGCCTATTCATTTGGGTGTATCACTGGGGCTGGCCATATTTACTGAGATGACTAGAGAGGGAGGGTGTCAACATGCAAAGAGAGGAGGTAAATGTCCAATTAGACCAACCTAAACCAGCTTAGGGCATAGGTTAAAATGCTAAAGAGTTACATGGTGTTCTCTGGGCTGGCAGTAGCTCCACGGAGCCCTCTGAATTCCAACCACTCTTAGTGACATCCTGTTTAAGGAGTAACATGTCATTGGAATCATAACAGCTCACGTTTATTGAGAGCTTGCAGTGCATCATACCCTGCTTTAAGCATGTCACAGGTATTCACTCATTTATTTCAACAATCCTAAGAGCTAGGCTTTGTTATTAGCCCCATTTTAATGATAAACTTATCAAGGTACAGAGAGGTGAAGTCACCTGCCCAAGGCCACAAAGCCAATAAGTCAAGTTTTGAACCATTAGCCCGTCTAGCTTCTGAGCCCAGGCTCTTAATCCCTGGGCTATCCTAACTCCCTTACAAGTCTTGATAACCTGAAAAGTGTGTTTGTATGTACACAGGGGTGGAGTGTGGCATAGAGAAGACCAGAGTATGGGACAAAAGAGAACCAGAGACCCCACACTGAATTAGAGACCAGATGCTCCTGGGAAGGGAGATGGGAGGGAATGTTGGAGTGTTTCACTGCCAGCAAATTCATCAGAGTAGAGGGACTGAAATTCAAGGGGAGATGGGGCTAAATAAATGTAGAGAGGTCTCTTATTAGGGGGAGTGTTATTGAGATAGACACCAAAGGACAGTTATTTTGTTTCCAAGTTTGGGTACAAATGATGGCAAAGACTGTATTAGGAAAGAGAATTTTTACCCAGAGTTCCTAGAGACTCAGAAAATTAGACCTTGTTGCCAGAGAGGGCTGGTAAGGAAGACCCTGCTGGCAAGGCTGGTCCTACCCACAGGTGGAGGACCAGCTGGATATCGCCACCATCACTGCATCCTGTAGTGCTGGGAATGGTCCTTGGTGACCCATGGGTATGTCACCTGAGAGGGGAGGGAGAAGTAACAGGCAGTGCCTAGTAACACATCTGCATAGATAGATGTATAAGAATGGCTAGTTTTCATCTTGAAGAGCAGAGAGCAGGACTGTGAAGGGATAGAACAGGACAAATACAGTTTGATAGGGAAGAAAGTTTTCCAGAAAAAGGTAGGGGAAGGTTAAGAGTATGGAGAGGGCAAAGCCAAGGTGGGAAAAACCATATGGGGGTGGGTGGGGGGAGAGGGCGGCATTCGCACCTGATACAGAGGCTAAAACACTAAGAAGTGGGACGAACAGGCAAAGTTGAGCTGCTTGACAGTGTTTCCCAGGATAGGCTCTGCAGACAGTTCACAATCGTAGGAGAAGCTGTGAATGAGGACAACTGAGCTGTAACCCTGTCTCCGCCTCCAGCAAGCTGTATGACCCTGGGAAAGTCTCTTAACTTCTCTGAGTCTGTGTTCTGACCTGGGGCTGGGAATGCCGTTAACCTCCTAAAGGTGTTGCGAGCCTCAAATGAAACATGAAATGTTATGCACATGCCAAGAATCACTGTTGTCATAAGCTGCGCAGAGAGTGAGAGGTGGAAAGAGCAGGTCTCCAGTCCACATGGGCCCCTCAGGCTGAAGCTGGAGACCGAGGGGGACAGATGAAGATCTGGTGGCTATGGAGGGAGACCTGCAATGTCTTCTCACTCTTCTTCCACCAGCCCAGCCCTGCCCCGCCAATAGGCAGCTGTACACCTCAGCTCCCAATTTCTCTTTCCTCCAGGTCTCCTCTTTACCTCAGGACAAAACTGCTGCTCTTGGCCTTCTGTCTTGAGAAAGTTTGTCATCACAAAGAAGGAGTTCCCCTGCAGAGAAAAAGGAGAGGCAGAGGAAAATGCGAGGGCTTTGAGAACAGAACTACTTAATCATAATAATCCAGCTTGCTAAGTGCCTGGGGGCGAACCTTTTCATTCTTCTAAGCTTCTGGAAATTGGGTCCGTGGGCAACTTGGAATACACCAAGTGCTCAATATCAAAGCTGGATGAGCCACCCTGCTGAGCCAGGGGAGAGCAAAGAACATTGAAATGGATTGAGTAGTCATTTTCCATTCCAGCCTCAAAAGCAGACTTGTTTTTTTGACACAGTAAAATCCAATTAAATTGAAACTCAAGAGACCTGGAGAGGCGGGGGTGGGGGAGTAGGCTTCATCGGACTGCTGTTCAGATTTTCCAGGATTTAAATGAAGGGGCAGTAGGGCAGCCCACCACCTGGCCAATAGCTGGGTTTTAATGACCCACTGTTAGAAACAAACAACAACTTGGGCTTTCTGGGTTTTTGCAAAGCTTCCTGGCCTCCCCGGGGCTGCAAATGTGCCCTTCTGTCCCTCCTGCCCCCTATTTATTCTTTGGCATGCTCAACCCCACTTTAATTTCTCCTTTTTTTGGGAAATTCTGCTTTCATTTCCTCTGCTCGCAAATTTAGACAGTCAAACGCCTTTTCTCTGTGACCCACACCTTTCCTCTCTTTGTCATTTACATCCTTCCTTTGTGCAAAAATGTACCCAAGAACGGTTTCCTGAAGACATATTTGTTGATAAAATGCCACACAAACAATACAGAAGGGCTGGTACTCTCCGAGTAGAAAGTTCTTCGCCCTTCTGAATCCAGGCAGACCTTGCTAACTTGGTGGCCCTGCTTCTAAAAAGCTGTGTATAAATTAAGTATGAGCGAATCAAATCATGTTTTAAATGCACCAGGACATGCTGCTATTTTGAGAAACCCTGTAGGACTTGATAAAGCAAAGAATCATCTCCTTTGAGCTGCTGGATCTGACCCAGTTTTGCAATTTTTAGGTTTTCTCAGTTGGGATTTTCACAGAGCTTCTTAAAATAGGGCCAGCATTTTTCTGGAGTGGGGCTCTAGGTCCCAAAGGAAGGGAGTGAGGCCCTGGTGATGGTGACAAGTCTGGGGTAGGTGCTGCCAGGTGCTCACCTGCAGAGGGAAGGTGTAATCTGCGGTGTCGAAGACACTCTGCACCACTTTCTTTACTCCATTCTCCACGATCTCCTCTTTCACCTCTGCTATCCCTTTCACCTTGGTGTGCACGGAACTGATGACAGGCTCTTTCTGCTGGTATAGCTTGTCACTCACCAAAGCAAAGCTAAATGGCAGACACAAAAAGCATCCATGGCTTTCTTGAGGGAGGCACTGTGCAGTGGTTTTTGATGCAGGCTCTGTTTAAATCCTAGATCTGCTGGGTGACTTGCTTTTCTGTGACTCATTTTCCCTCTGTGCAAAATGGGAAGAATAGTCGCACCTACCCATGGGATTGTTGTGAGGATTAAATGAGATATGTATGCAAACTCCTTAGCACAATATCTGACACAGAGCACTCACGACAGGAAGACTATTGTCCCCAATCCTACCCTTTATCCTTTTTTTTTTTTTTTGTCGTCTCTTTTTCGTGACTGGCAACGGATCGCAACCCTCAGTGTCGCGCCTGTACCGGACTGGGACCGGCAACGGGATCGCAACCCTCGGTGTTGCGCCCGCACCTTGCTCAGCCAGTGAGCGGCCGGTCTGTATGTGGGATCCGAACCCTCGGCGGGAGCGCCGCCGCGCTTCCCAAGTGGCGCACTGTAGCAGTGCGCCACCGGGCCAGTCCCCCAATCCTACCCTTTATCCTTTTTTTTTTTTTTTGTCGTCTCTTTTTCGTGACTGGCAACGGATCGCAACCCTCAGTGTCACGCCTGTACCGGACTGGGACCGGCAACGGGATCGCAACCCTCGGTGTTGCGCCCGCACCTTGCTCAGCCAGTGAGCGGCCGGTCTGTATGTGGGATCCTAACCCTCGGCGGGGGCGCCGCCGCGCTTCCCAGGTGGCGCACTGTAGCAGTGCGCCACCGGGCCAGTCCCCCAATCCTACCCTTTATCCTTTTTTTTTTTTTTTGTCGTCTCTTTTTCGTGACTGGCAACGGATCGCAACCCTCAGTGTCACGCCTGTACCGGACTGGGACCGGCAACGGGATCGCAACCCTCGGTGTTGC